AATTGCTCTCCCCGTACTGCGGCAGCACACTGCTCCCTTCCACCCCTGATTCCCCATGTCCATTCAACCAGCTCCTAACCCTCTTTTCCCATCTCACCTCCATACAGAAGCTGCCCATTTAGTCTCTTGTATCTACTTGAGCTAAGAGACACACTCCTCACAAGTATCACTTTATGTCCCACAGTCCAGTCCAATCCCTGTATGAAGAGTTGGCCTCAGAAATTGTCTTATTTCTGGGCTGATAGAGAATCCAGGGGCCATGCTTCCTGGGGTTCCTCCAGTCTCAGTCAGACCATTAAGTCTGGTCTTTTTACTAGAATTTGAGTTCTGCACCCTACCTTTCTCCTGCTCCATCAGGGGCTCTCTGTTGTGTGCCCTGTCAGGGCAGTCATTGGTGGTAGCCGGGCACCATCTAGTTCTTCTGGTCTCAGGCTGATGAAGTCTCTGGTTTATGGGGCCCTTTCTGTCTCTTGGGCTAATACTTTCCTTGTGTCTTTGGCGTTCTTCATTTTCCTTTACTCCAGGTGGTTGGGACCAATTGACGCATCTTTGATGGCCACCTGCAAGCTTTTAAGACCCCAGACATCACTCACGAAAGCAGGATGCAGAACGTTTTCTTAATAAACTTTGTTATATCAATTGACCTAGATGTCCCCTGAAAGCATGATCCCCAGACCCCTACCCCTGCTATTCTGTCTCTCAAAGTGTTTGGTTGCGGAATTGGATATTTTTGTATTTATATACATATTCTTGAGGTTTTTTTATGGGACATAATTAAGTTACTTGGAAACACTCCGACACTTTTAAGCTTTGTTAGGCAGGACCAGAGCAGCCTTTACCCAGGGGCTAGTTTTTCCCACTACTGAGGCAATAGCCTTCTGGAAATAGTCTACCTGATGTCCCTTTAATTATGAAGTTTTTACACTCTGGCTAGTGGGAACATGAAGTATTCTCAATTCTTTCTGAGGTTCAGGGGTTATTTCCTCCAGTCCTTTTAGGCAACTCTTTCTCATCCAAGGGTAGTTTCCTCATGTATGCTTTGATGAATACGCAGCTGAAGACACTGAGAGGACTCTCTGCTGATCTCTAGAGCTTAATCTCTCTCTGTCTCCATCCTCTCCTCTCTGTTATTCTGCCCTGTGAACTCTAGACATTTTTACCTCCCAGGAGTCCCAACTCCTTCTCCTCAATTTAGAGAAACTGCTAGGCTCCACCTGGGTTTCTGTTCTTTGTTCTGCAGCCTCCACACAGTAAGTTGGGGTGATAGTCTAGCTCATCTCATTTATTTCCCCTCTGTCAGGTATCACTGTCCTGCATTACCTGATGCTCAATATCTGAAATCTATTGCTTGAAGTATATTGTCTGTTTTTGTATTTGTTTCAAATGGAAAGGTAAATCCAGTCCCTGTTAATAACTTGGCCAGAAGAGGAAATCCTTCTCATACATATTTTAATTCAATTCTCAACATTACTCTGAACTGATAATTTCATCTCCAGTTACAGATGAGGCATCTGAAGCTCTGAGAAATGAAATAATCTTGCCCAGAGCTTTGCACAGTATATGACCTATTATCGTAGTTAACTGCTGTTGAGTCAGCCCTGACTCATGGCGACCCCATGAGCAATGGAAAGAAGCAATGCCCAGTCCTGCCCCATCCCTGTGATCAGTTGTGAATCAGACCATTGTGATCCATAGGGTTTTCTCTGGATGATTTTCAGCAGTAGATAGCCAGGTCTTTCTTCCTAATCTTTCTTAGTCTGGGAGCTCACTGAAACCTGTTCAGCATCATAGTAACACACAAGCCTCCACTGACAGACGGGTGGTGGCTTCATATGAGGTGCATTGGCCAGGAATTGTAGTTAATGCTTACAATAATCAGCTTATCATTAAACCACTTAAATCTCTTTATAACAAGATTTCTAAGCCTCAGCAGATGGTTTGCTTACTTTAATCAAAATATGATTCTAAAAGAAATAAGAATCTTTTCCATATAGTTGCTTGTAATAAACAGTTAAAGAGATTTACCCATATGGATAGGAATGTCTCCTCTTTATAATGACTTTGACAATGGAATAAATAAGGCTGTTGTTAGCCAATAAACCCCATTGTCATCGAGTCGAATTCTGGCTTATAGTGACCCTACAGGACAGAGTAGAACTACCCCATAGGGTTTCCAAGCTGTAATCTTTAAGGGAGCCGACTGCCACATCTTTCTTCTGACAGATGGCTGTCGTTAGCAGCTGAGCACTTAACCGTCGCACCACCAGGGCTCCTCCTTGTTAGTAGAGATTTATAAAAATAGGAAACTTGAGAGGATATTCTTAGACCTGTTTTCAGTGAAAATGAGAGTTTTGCCCAAGGCTGAAACAAATAAGATAAAAGACCTCTCCCTAAAGGAGTTTGCATATTTAAACCCTAGACTGGCTCTTTACTTTAGGGATTCAACTCTTCTTTCTTGAGTCTTCGGAGTACTTCATTAGGCCTTCAAACTTGTTAGATCCAATTTCAAGCATCCGCTTCCTTAAAAAGAAGGTAAGGTTTCAGCAGGTTCAGGGTAGGGGGCTGCCTTATTCTGGAATGGGGCTGGAAGCTGGCCTGTGGAGTAGGTGTCAAAAACTGCCCTAGCACACTGAACTGGAGGAGTCAGGAGGGGAGTATTTGTTCTGTCACTTAACTCCTGGACTACAGGTTTCTCTAAAATAGGAGGTTGCACTCAATAGCCTCTGGTTGTCAAAATCTGATTCTATAGGTGGCCCTAGCACTAGCAGCTCTAAGAAGGCTGGAGGGGAAGGAAAATAGGTAGTGGAAAGAGGAGAAGAAATGGGGGAGGGTGACATGAGGTTGGGAATAGGGTGAAAGGTTATAGGTGGGGCTTGATGGTTCAGTGCCAAGAAATTACTGTCCCTGGGGTAGAAATCTGGAGCCCTGGTGGTGAAGTGGTTAAGAGCTCAGCTACTAACCAAAAGGTCGGCTTGGAATCCACCAGCCGCTCCTTGGTAACCCTATCGTGCAGTTCTACTCTGTCCTATAGGGTCACTATGAGTTGGAATCGACTGGATGGCAATAAGCTTTTTGGTTTTCAGTTTTTTTCTTTTTTGAGAGGGGTAGAATTGGACTGGTGGGGATGGAGATAAAAATAGTCATTTTTATTTACTTTATCGTTTCAATGTCAACCGCCACTTTGCCATCAGAATACACATCTAATACAGTCGAATTGGATGGGCGCTTGTCTGTTTGGAATCATTATTAGGGAAGCTTGATTTAAACCTATCATTGCTCGTGCAGCATTGCTTTGTACCCCGTGATTACAGAAAATCTCCAACCGAATAAACCAGGGTGACCTCCGTATTTTTGCAGGCTCCCGTTTTTAGGCTTCATAGTGTGGAATCAAATTTGTATTAAAATATAGATATTTTACTTTTATTTCAAAAGGCCGATTTCTTATCTGCAAGGAGCCCTGGCGTCGCTCTAGTTAAGCGCTTGGCTGCTAACCCTAAAGGTCAGCGGTGGGAACCGCCAGCCTCTCCATGGGAGACAGATGTGGCAGTCTGTTTCCTTAAAGGGTCGCTATGAGTCAGAATTGACTCGAGGGCAATAGGTTTTTTTTTTTTTTTTTTTTGATTATAGGGTTCTTGGATACCCTGGTGGTGCAGTGGTTAAGTGTTAAGGTTGCTAACCAAAACGTTGGCAATTCGAATCCACCAGGCCCTCCTTGGAAACTCTATGGAGCAGTTCTACTCTGTCCTATAGGGCCGTTAGGAGTCGGAACTGACTCGATGACAACGGGTTTGGTTTGGTTTATAGGGTCCCCGTGAGTCGGCAATCCAGCTGATGGCAACAATTTGTTATTCTCGAATTTAAAATTTCCTGACCCAAAATTAATCCGCCATTGGTTTTTTTTTTTCCCTCTCTCACCCAGAGTTACTAATCTACTTTTCTTTTCTGCTCAGGACAAAAGAGCAGACAAAGACAAAACCATTAACTTGTGATATACTGAAAAAGACTTGGGTTCTTTAAATTTCTTGAGGTCTCAGGACTGCAGGTGGGTGGACGGTCAAATCGTCTGGGATGTTACCCTTTTAATGTTGCCTCAGTAGCCATTAAGTACTTCATCACCATGGAAACCTGTGTTTTTTAAGCAAAAGTTTTTTTGTGTCTCTGTAGCGTCTCCATTCTCTGGAAGCAAGCTCTTCTTGAGGGAGGGGAATGTCTCCCCAATTTACAAATTTGTTTACTAAATCATAGAGCAATCAAACATTGTGTTTCGATTTTGAATTAGTACATGATTATATTTTTTAACAGTAGGATTTTGGAGCCACAATCAACCCCGCGGAAGTAGAGAAGGGAAAAGACCAGGACAAGGGATCGGCAAGGAAGCGACCGGGGAAGGCAGGGAAGGTCCGCCCGCGCGGGCGGAGGGACGGCCTACATTTCCCAGGCCCCGCCCCAGGCCCGCCCCCTCCAGGCCCCGCCCCGCGGCCCTGCTCGGCGCCCGGCTTCCCAGAGGCCCCGTGCGGCCCG